GGGGAGAGGGGGAGGGTGGGGAAATGGTGAGGGGGGTGGGGTGAGATGGGAAAAGGGACGTGAGATCAGATGAGAGGAAGAAGAGGATGGAGATGAAACTGCATAGAGCAGAGAAGTGATGAATACAGGTTGGACTAAGATAGTTGGGGACATTGAGACTTACGTTCTAAAGGTTCGACCCAGTTCACTACCCTTCTCGTGCTCTTCCGCTAGGCCTCCTACCCACAAGTCTATATTATCCACGTGACCATATAATGACTTCATGTCTTGAGCAACACGCTTGTTCTTCACAAGGTCTGAGAAATCTTTTAATCCTAAAACACAACGAATTGTGACGAAGAAAATCACGTTTTTCAATAATTTAACTACAATAGTCAAATCATCAAAAAATGATGAATTACGGGATAACTATTTTGAAGAAGACTCGGTCAGTCTTGGTATAGAGCGTTTTCACTCACGTGACAAGGTAGCCATATTGGTGTACCAAACAATGGAAACTTTCTGCACAGTTTTTGCATAAAAATAGAGTTCAATTCCCGGAGGATAGAAAATGTATTGTTTTGGTACCCTATCATTGGCCCTGTGACGTCACATGAAAACGTTCTCTAATTACTCGAGGATGTAAATTTGCTTCAAGTGTATCATCTTCCCGTACAGACCTGGTAGACCAGCCATTTTCCTGACAGTGTTGTAGTCTGGCAGACCATGGTCTCGACCTCTTTGTATATTCATAGCTGCTAGATCAAGGCCGTTATGTCGGCCAACAGGAAAGAGTACGTTACGCAAATCGTCTATCATCTGCAAATGGAAAATAGAGCCAAACAACAAGAGAATCATGGTGTACCTTTACGTCAGGTTATTGTTCTAAGCACTAGCTTCCTAACCTTCAAGTCGATTTCTTGTGCAGGTTGAGCAACAGCACCTCGTAGAATTGGCTCGATTCCACCTTCTCTTTCAACTCGTTCAGGTACGAAGTAAGAGTCTCGAACAGGAAGGTGCCCATAGTCACTAATGCTACCATCTTCATTCAGTCGCCAGAGATGACTACTAACTTGACTATGACCATATCTATAGAACAAGGATACAAACAAACAATATGACTCGCTGCGTGTACGGCGTACGTGGCGTGCACTCTTACCCACGAAAAGGACAAAAGGCATGATCGCAATGTTAGTTGACATAACAGGGGCCGTAGCCGAAAAGATGGGTTAGCACATCGGTAAGTCGAATTTATCACTTGCCCACTAGGTGTTTTGGAAGCTACAGGGTGGGGATTGGGGGGGGGGG